CCCTCCCCAGCCCCGTCCCCACCCATGCGCCTCCCGTCTCGCTCCCCGCCATCTTCCCTCCCCAGCCCCATGCGCCTCCCGTCTCGCTCCCCTCCCTTCCTTCCCCTCCTTCTTTCCTTCCCAACCCCGTCCACCTCCACATCCATCCCTCCTCCCTCTTTCCTTCCCAATCCCGTCCACCTCCACCTCCATCTTCCGTCCCCGACAACGTAAGCTTTTCCTCGCTCTCCCGCGGCACTAGCGACTAAACGAGAACCCAAGCATCGGAGATGCTTTTGGGAAAAAACTGGCAGTGCATTATGTACCACATGTTACTGTCGTTGTTCCTCTGGTAGGGCTACTACAGTGTGCTGTAAATGTTGATCAACCAGGTGGACGGGTTCACCCTGGTGCGTAGGGAAGTCTAAGGAGCAACAAAAACGACAAACAAATCCTGACGCAAATCGAAAGAACTGCGCCCAGGCGGTTGCATTGGCTGGATCGAATCTTCCAACCTCGAAGTGCACTTTGAATGATCGCCGCACGGCCTAGGGATGACAAAAGATCATATTTTTTGCTCGGAATAATTTCGGGACACACCATTTTGCAAGTGGCCTCTTCAAGTCTTTCCTTCGTTGCCAGGCCCAAATCAATGGCTTTGGACAGTGATGTGAAGAATGTGTCTCCCATCCTCAAATCGCATATCACAACCATGCGCAACAGAAAATTCGTGGATGACAGCGTGCTTCTCATGAACCCTACATTTGTTCAATGTCGATACTAGGGTATTGTTCCTTTTCGTATCCCCCAACCCGAAAGCACTTTACGTGCTTCTTCTGGAACTGGCCTTCCTAAATGGATACCATGTTGTCTCATGTTTTGTGGTCCTGGGATGATCTCCATTTGGGCCCACCGGTGTCACACATGTTGTCATTGCCATCACATGCCCGTTTCCATGAAACCAGCCGAGCTATGCCAAGCTTCTCAAGGTCAGTTCCATTCATCAAAGCCATTGCTGCAGCATGCACGTCATCTGGTGCATTTACCGGAGGACCTTTCAAATTTCCCACCGCTCCGCAGTCTGTTGTGACGTGCGCATCCTTAAAGAGCGAAGGCTGTACGTTTGTCGGTTGGTTTCAAGACACAATACAGCATGTAATTTCGGTCGATGCTTCAGCTTTGCTTGTCCCAGTGACTGGATTCCAGCTCCTAAGCTCATTGAGGATAAAGTCATTGGCACAAGATGGGCGCCCATTCTCTGCATTGTAGGAACACATCACGCCTTCACAGGATCGAAGAATGCAAAGAAAACCATACACGAAGTTGCTAGATGTTGCTAGTGGCTAGCGCCATGCTGCGCCTGTCGGCTGGGCAGAAAAGGCCAGTTTGTATTGTGCTAAGTATGTGTCAAAGAAGTCATAGGTGGAGATGTTGTACCTTAAGCTGCGCTGATGTTGTAATGTCACTTCACAAGAAACTCGAGTCATCGCACTAAGCACTGGGCGTATCATGGCCCCTGTTTGCCTCTGTCGAATATGCTGTGTAGTGTTTGAGGTATGCCGCTGTCTTCTTATACCCGTTCTCATCGCGCTGTTGCATTCCAGAAACCATGTGGACTGCATAAGTGCCACTGAGAAAGGGATCCTCGCTTGCAAGTTCAGAATTGCGCCCAAAGCGAGGGTCTCGCACGATATTGATGTTCGGTCCAAAGGCTGTCAAGCAAACTGGATTCTTGTGGTCCGGGTGAAATCGGGAGGCTCCGATATTCGACAATGCCCGCTGCTCGGTTCCCATCACATATCCTCTCAATGTGTTTGTCCGGAAAAAGAAACAACACAGTTGAAAGCTGACAGCATGCGAAGTGAATGCTCATAGCCCGGTAGCTAATTTTGTTAGAATTCGAACACTTTGTGTAGTCGTTCAATCTGCTTGTCGTTGAAGGCACCTTCACTCGCTTCATGGACTAGTGTTGTCTTTAAAGCCTAAATACCAAGGTAGTGAGAAAAGCTTTAAGAATGGAGGACTCTATCGACGCATTCGTTGCTTTCTGATGACCTATTTTATCATCGTTTTGATAGCAAAGGACAAACAGCTTGTCACCAAACCTGGCTTTCTCTGCTGGGGCATTGATCGTTCAAGTAGTTAGCCAATTCCCAAAAGTAGAGCGACGCAGGCTGCCTTGTCAGATTCTTTTAAATTTGAAGACTCAGGACAACAACCGTCTTATCTTTGAATAGAATCTGGCGCTTCAAGAAATTGAACAAACCGCGCGCAAGAGCACAGCACCAGCATCTCACTAGGCGATGCTGATCAGTTACAACATGTAACTAGAAAATTGTTTCGTGGAAAAGACCACCGTCGGACACAAGATTTCAGGCACTGTGGCTAAACACACCACTCTGTGAATGGATGAACAGCTACTAGTAATGCCCTTAGATACTAGTAGCTTCTTGCCTCTAGTAGCAATGTCCTTGTTACTAGTAGCGATGCGCTTAGCTCCTAGTAGCTTCTTGCTACTAGTGGTAATGCCCTTGTTACTAGTAGTGCTGCCCTTCGCTGCTCGTAGCTTCTTGTTACTAGTAGTACTGCCCTTGTTACTAGTAGCGATGCCCTTAGATACTAGTAGCTTCTTGCTACTTGCAGTAATGCCCTTGTTACTAGTAGCGATGCCCTTGTTACTAGTAGCTTCTTGCTACTAGCGATGCCATTGTTACTAGTAGCTTCTTGCTACTAGTAGTAATGCCCTTTCATTCGTGAAAGGCATGCGGGCGCAAAGCACAAGAAGCCTGCTTTTCACTGCTTTTCGACATACCACTGATTTCCGATTCTTCAGCGAGCTCATGTAAACAGGACCCAGTCAGCAGGAAGCACTGAAAGGTGGGCGGGAGTTCAACATGTCAGTCTTTTACTTAGGAAATGCTGGCAGCTCAGAGTAAACAATTGAAGTGCCTTGGGCATGTGAATGTACAGCCACAAAAACACCATTCACGAGCAAAGGCTCAAAGAGACATTGATGCAAGGCTCTACTTCGACCACGGTGAGACAAAATCTCAAACTACGACCAGGCTGCAATGTTTGAAGAATATACAAATCACAAGCTTGTCTCTCTGTCAAAGTTCGGACACAAATGCCTGAAAGAATGCCAACAAGTGTGATAATCTGAAAGAGACTAAACAACTGAGCAGCTCAAAGAACATGTTGCAAGCAATTGACTGTTCAGAACCTTTCTCCTTTGTTCAAGGGATGGGATCTGGGTAGATTTTGCGCAAGTGCCTATCTCGGCTGTCCAAACCGCATACAGTGCACACAGTCGCATGAGTCAGAGAAGGACTGCGAAGCGTTTGGGGTGATGTGTAAGCTTCCACGGCTGTATGGACCTTGCGCAAAGCAGTCGAGACCTGCAGATATATGAGCATTCGCGCGTTTGTGTGTGTGTGTAACCCTTGGAATCATAGGGATCCTTTTGGATTGTTTTGAGCCTTTAGCAGGGGGTGCCAGGGATGCACACTGGACTGGCACCAACGAAGACGCCAGTGCTGCATCTGTGAAATCAGTCCGGGACGCCGGATTGACGTACCTGCTTGGAGAGAAACCTACTTAATGGACAAGCTGTTCCAATTCTGTGTTTTGCAGTAAGCGGCTAATGCAGCGGGGCTTCACCTCAGATTGCGAACTTGATTTGCTGCACGTACGTCGTCACCTTGTCGTCCGCTCGCTCGACGTTTTTCTTTTAGAGCTGCTGGCCACCCGCAACCTTCGGGACCTCTGCTAGATGGACCTCCACTTCCTTTTAGGTTTCCTCACCTGTACCCTTAGGAATTGGAACCCTAGGCCGGCGTGTGGCACCGCCTTCAGTTCAGTACACCCTATCCTAAGTGTGTTTGGCCACGTGCCAACCCGGGATGAGCCCGCAGAGTGCCTCCCGTGGACCCGTCGAACGGGTGTACGTCGAACGTATCCATTGCCCGGATACAGAGCAGCTCGCAGCAAGCGTAGGTGGCCTAGGCCGTACGTACGATGATTTTTGTCTCATCTTTGGAATTCCAAGTTGGCTCATGCCGTTACGTGACCGCAGCGGTCAGAGGTGGCAGCCCTCGGGCAAGCCGTACGTGGTCGCAGCGACCAAAGCTTGTTCAAGGTTCATTGGAACCTGTCGAGCACTTAGCCCCCCCTTCTCCCCCTTCCCTCCCCCGTTCTTTCTTTGCTTTCTGAGGTTTTCCTGAATGCAATACTCAGGATCACCCCTCTTTCTTGGGTGTGTCCCTGGACGATTGTTCGTAGCTGGGAACACCTTCCTTTCCTCTCCCTTTCTCTCCCTCTCTCTTTCTTTCCTTCTCTCTTTCCTCTCTTCACCCTCTTCCCTGGGTGTCCCTGGATGCTTCGTCATAGCTGGGAGCCCTTCCTTTTGGTGTTTTTCTGGACGCATGTATCGTAGCTGGGAGCACCTTTGTCTCCTTCTTTCTTTCCCTCTCTTTTCTTCCTCCCCCTGCCCCCTCTTTCCTCGCGCGCGGCGTGTTTACAAGCAAACTAGGCTTCTGCAACAGGTTTTTCTAATGAGGTTTGGTTTGTCATTGGTTTGTCCCCGTTCATTTGGTTCCCCTTTCATCGGCCCCCACAGACGGTTTTTCTTCCTCTTTTCTTTCATGTCTTTCTGTCTTCATGTCTCTTCATCCTCATCCTTTCTTTCTCTTGCGCGCACTTTCGTCCGGACCTTAGTTTGTACACATACACGCACGCGTACTTTACTTACAGTGAGGTTCAGGTGGCCCAGGTTCGTTACAATGAGGTTTGGCTCATCGGTTGTCCCTCTTCACTTGGTTCCTTTTCATCGGCAACCACACACACCTTTGTCTGTCTTGTCCTTCTCATTTTCATCTGTCCCTTTTGCGTGCACATGTGCCTACCTCCTTTCCGGGCAGGATGGAGGTCACACATGCCTCCCTTCGGGGAGGCGTGTGTGTGTGTAACCCTTGGAATCATAGGGATCCTTTTGGATTGTTTTGAGCTTTTAGCAGGGGGTGCCAGGGATGCACACTGGACTGGCACCAACGAAGACGCCAGTGCTGCATCTGTGAAATCAATCCGGGACGCCGGATTGACGTACCTGCTTGGAGAGAAACCTACTTAATGGACAAGCTGTTCCAATTCTGTGTTTTGCAGTAAGCGGCTAATGCAGCGGGGCTTCACCTCAGATTGCGAACTTGATTTGCTGCACGTACGTCGTCACCTTGTCGTCCGCTCGCTCGACGTTTTTCTTTTAGAGCTGCTGGCCACCCGCAACCTTCGGGACCTCTGCCAGATGGACCTCCACTTCCTTTTAGGTTTCCTCACCTGTACCCTTAGGAATTGGAACCCTAGGCCGGCGTGTGGCACCGCCTTCAGTTCAGTACACCCTATCCTAAGTGTGTCAACACTGAAACAAAGACATGTTTAACATTGTTTAACAATAAATTTTGGACCAACACCTGAAACACCATTATATAATGTATATAAGAAATACTGGTTATATATGTAATACTAGGAGCAAGGACGCTACTAAGGGCTCCTGGCATCGCCACTAGGAGCAAGAACGCTACTAGGGGCTCCTGGCCTTACTACTAGGAGCAAGGACGCTAAGGACGCTACTAGGATTTTGTTTTCCAACTCCGTCGATCGCACCTTTGAGGTGCCACGATGTGCGATTGAAGGACGCGGCCATCCCCATGGGTCCCATGAAATTGGTGACGCAATGGTTCTCCGCTGGGCAGGCGGCATCAACACCTCAAGTCGATCTCAACAAGAGTATGAAACATATATCGAACCTTTCCAGTGAAAAGGAAGCAATGCCGGCACTCGTAAAAAGATAGAATGTGAGTAGCACGAAGTCCGAACAAAGTCCAAGCAGCCTGTATTTGTTTCAACCAACCACAGCCACGGGGGCAAACCAATCTCTGCCTTTCCCGTAGTGAAGGTTGTGCAGGTGCCTCAGAGTAGCGTTCGTTAGGCATGGCTTCAAATGGCTTGCATCTCAGGAAATTGGTGAAAAGCAAAAAAACAACAGTTTGGATCTTGGTCTATATTGTAGATATCAAAATAAGAGCTATACCAACGTTTGCCATTGCTACAGCTCCTACACAGGCCTCTGTGAAATGCAGAATAAACATTGAATTCGGTCACCATGAACGTTTATTTGACGCCAATTGGCCTCCGAGCGAAGCATCAGGGGTGATTTGTTGGATCTTCTCTTCCAGGCTGAGGCGAGACATGAGATCATCCAATCCTTCAAACACAGCAACAAGCGTTCAGCGTTCAGCTCTCAACCGTGAGGGAATTCGACACAAACCAAGAAAAGCCGATATGATGCGATCTCTCCCGGTCTGCTCAGCTGAGTAACGCTTTTCCACCGAAAGAGTGGTGTCACAGTATGGAAGGCTTGCAGCCTCAGAAATGCAAGGCGCAAGGCAAACACTGTCGACCAACTTCCACAGGTCAGGTGATTTTGTTCTTGCACTCGGTGGGGCTTGGTATTGCAGAAAAGATCAGAAAACAACAGAAAGCAAAACTTCACTTGTCAATCGAAACGGGTCCACTATGTGCAAACATGCCCCAGGATACCCTTTGTCCTTAAATCTTTCCAGTAGCCTTATGGTCAACGCATCCGTGCCAGTTGGGGGTAGCTTGAGCGCCCAAGAACCCAAGCGCAGCTGGCACAGCTCCTGTCAAGTTCACTGTTTTAGAGCTGATAGAGCTGACAACTTGCGACCTTCGATCTTCGTGTATCATTTGTGAAGCAAACAATCTTTCGAGGTCCATCCGTCATATATTCCATCTGCTCGTATTGGCTCGATTTCACTTTATAGGTTCAACCCGAAGTGAACGAACCAACTTGCAAACCAAAAGGACACGACATCCAGATTTTGAACAGCCATGAGAACTGCTTGACCGAGCATGGGGTTTCTGTTGTGACCAACAGCGTACTGGTTTCTCCATGTTTCTTGCTGCTTCTTCCCTACTGTAAGTTTTTGGAATTACGATTGCGACCGCGAGACATCTTCTGACATTGGGGATCATTGGGGGGCTCAGGCTCCGTCTTTCACCGTGTTTCTGCAGCCTGCTTGAATATCAATAACCTTCTTGTTTCTTCCGGGAAAAAGATTGCAGCCGTGAGCATGCCTTCCTTCTTGCTAGTGATGGGCATTCGCCGGTTTGGATCTAACGTGGCAAGATGTCTATCCGAGGCCTGATAGGCCCGACCTTCACATCGGCGTACGAGTGGCACTGGATGCTTGTTTGGCGGGGTGAAACTTGGTTAGGCAATCCCAAACTTACTCTCCTGCGTCTTCTGATGTCTTCTGTGTCTCGAGGCTACAGAATTAAACAAGACACTGAAAGCCGGCCTTTCAAACGGAATCCCATGGATTCTGCAGCTGAACACAGCTTATGGCGCTGGATATCGATGGAATTGATTGAGCCCAAAGGGACTGCTCAGATTCAACATGACTCCGCGGCGGTACAAATCAGCACTTCAGACTATCCAGCCACCGGACAAAGTATTTTTTCCAGTCCATTCAAAAACCGTTTTTGAATCTGTTGATGTGTCCAATGGTTTCTAGCCAAGCATCAACTGCGCATTGCGCATCAACAGAACTCCGAGTCACAGCTTTCCACTGAAACTGAAGAGAGCCTGTTTTCGTGCTCAGTGAAATCAGCGCACGAAAACATAATTACAGATTCTGCTAAATGGATATGTCAAACGGAAGAAGCGGAGTCGAGATCCTTAAAATATCACAGTTCTGCTGAAAATGCCTCTGGAAGCTTACGAATCTATATATTCTATCAAAGAAGAATTAAGGGCATGGTGTCAGAGCAATCACCAAATGAGCAGAACAAACACTCTTTCGCTTGTGAAAGCGTAACACACCTCAAAGGTCACCAAGTCCAAAAGCTTCGATCTTCATGTCCTCACGATTTCCCGCATCGAGACAACTGTGGACCGTAACCGACTCCTCAAGCCCGGCGAGCCAAAAGCCCAGTAGAAGCTCAGGTGCCTAGGAAAATCGGAAAAGCTTTAAAGCGAAAACAAAAGCCGTGAGTGAAGGTTGTTTTGGGGTTCAAGTTGTGCTAAAAGGAAAAACAACAAAACAACGGGAGAATGGAGAATGCAAAACACGCCGAAGAGCTGGCAGTCTTATTTAGTAGCGAGGCCCGGGTAGCAACAAAGAATACAAACGGTAGTACAAACAAAAGTAATTAGCCAGCTTTAGCAACTAGTATAGGCAAAGAAAAGAGCAAACTAAAAGAACAAGAGTGGGACAAATAAGAAGTTGGACTTGGGCCCCTTCGATAAGGCCCCTATTAAAGGCCCCAAGTCCAACTTCTTTCTTCACCTACTGAGTAGCAAACGGTTGGACTTAGACTGCTTGTAAACTGCAGACTTCACCGCACTCAGTCACGAACATCCATGCGCATCTTCAAATCTTCCATGTTCTCCGTGACCTTTCGCACAAACATCTATAGAGTGCCTGCACTGTGCCACTGTTAGCCAATGAGTGCCGTGGGCGCACAAAGTCCACACATCCACGTCCTTGAGAGTCGCATTCGATGTCTCAAAAGAAAAAGAATGAAAAAGAGACACTGTGGCCGAGACCCAATGCCCATGCCATTGGATCCGGGAAAGGCGGAGCAAAAGCCTCGAAGCCGCCAAGAGCGAGACCGAGACTTGTCACACCACTGTGCTTTCGACTCCCAAATCCTACTTACTCTCTCTCTAAGGTAGTCACTGTGCCGAGGTACAGAACGGTTTCCATACCTCAATATCGAAAAGAAAGAACAATATATTAGAAAAGGTAGCGCACCTTCAAAGAGAGATTCTATACCCTTACCGTACCTTTCCTTTATAACTATTTGTTGCTTTTTGTATGTTCATACATGCGCGAAATCGAGCAAGCTTTCCACCCATTTTTGACGAACCAGTTGTTTCTCAAGAAATCAACAAGAAGAGCAGCTATCAACAGCGACTATGATGATGATGATGATGATGTGGGGATGCGATCTTACTCGAAGAAATCATCGGGCATTGTGCATTGAATGCCAGGTCACCGAGCTGTCGCGCCATCGCAGTGCAACGCTCCAAGTCTCCGCAGTCGCTGTCGCCTTTCTTTTTGGGAAAACAAGGAACCGCGTCGAATGAAGAATCAAACCGGTACTTAAAAATGTTCATGACATTTTTGAATCAAAAAAAAGCGCTTCCACTTTTCCCCAGTACTAGGCTTACTAGGCTTGGGCATCTTACTGCAAACTAAATCGCATTCCAAGCACCATTCAGTACTCCCTACGTGGTTTCCACTCTACCCTCAGTGTGCCTCTGCAGCACCTCAAATGTCAAACTTGGCATGTTGGGAACTTGTGAGTTCATCAGTTCAAACGCTTTCTGTCGCCAAGGGGCTCCGATGCAATCCGCAAGCAGCCTTTCCACATCAAATGCATGTAAATCCGCCGTCTCGGAATTAGGTGCTGGTCGCACCGTCGTTATAAGGCGCTGGCCACCCATATCCATGCCTGGGAACGCATCTCACAGCAATTCCGGACATTTATGGTCAATTTTATGGTCAAGGTCTGGACTAGGAAGCGGAGGATCACTTTGGGACTTTGGTGATATGAGCAAACTAAAGAGGAGCCTTGACACCTACCCCTGAGTGTTCGCTCTGACACTGAGTCCAGCAGCAATGCTCTGTTTGCTTGAAGAAACCCGCATTTTTTGAATCTTGAAGTACTATAGGAAGCCCGGTGGGAGCTTCAACGCCTGCCGAAGACTATCAAACACCGCATGGCAGTACCTGTAGCCTGAAAGCCGCCTTTTGGCGTCAACCGGAAAATGCATGCCTAAACCTTAAAGGGCAAAACCCACATGAAACCCCTTCAACAAATCAAGAAACCTTCCAACCCTCAACAAGTAAACATCTATTCCTTCGCTTCTGGATGTGATACAGTGACAAAGTCTGATAGTAGTAGTGGCTATGACTACACACCCCTTTTGGAAGGGTTGCAAACTTTTAGCGGGATATTGTTTATTTGTGGGATATTTTTTAAGGCCTCAGTCTCTGTAGTTTTAAAGAGTTTCTTTTTTTTGGTGGGCTTTAGTATTTTGTATTTTCACGTGTTTTTAGTCAATTCTAATTGATTTTCAACTAGTTTTGACTAATTGTGTTAGTTGGATACTCTTTTGGCTTTAGTCTTCTGTACGTTTAATGAACTTTTTTGTAAATTATCAGTGATTTTAAATTACTTTTAAGCAATCTTTAATTTAAAATGTCCTTGTATTCTTTTGCTAAATTTACGTTTTATGTATTTTTCAATGGAAACGTTCTTTTTAGATTTTCTTTGAAATGTCCTTGTCAGTTTCCTTTTAGGTGTCCTTTAGATCTTTAAACATGTCCTTTTCATGTCCCTTCTAAATTTATTGCTTATTCAGTCAACTTGTTTTTGTGAAAGTTTCTTATAATTGTCTTTTCCTTTGTGATTTTAAATTTCAATTGAACCTTTCCTTAAAGTTCATTCTTAAAATGCCCCTGCAACTGTCCTTTCAATTTCCTTTCGAATTTCCCTTCCAAATGTCTTGCATGTTTCCTTTATTCCATTTTTTTTTTCTGCCGTTTTTCAATTTCCTCTTATTTGCTTTTGAACTCCCTTTTACATTTTCTTAAACAAATCCTTTGCAATTTCTTTTATGTCATTTCAAAGGCTGCGCCTGTTTCATGACATGTGGACGCTTGAGTGAGATCTAGATAGCTATACCCGAAACTACTTCTACACTTACATTTCAAAAGCGGGAGGGGGCACGGGGGAGTGCGCAGCGCCTCCCCCGCAATGCAAACTAGTAACAACAGCAGTCTGACCCGCTCATAACCATGGCACAGTTGGCTGGTTTGTGGTAGTGTAACTTGGCACGGCCTTCCTTCCTTTCGCCAGCTAGCCTAAAAAAGAGACATCATGCAGTATCTCTATATGCAAACTTAAACACATTTTGTTTTGAAATTACCTAGCCGCTGTGGCAGCAAATTTCCAATACATACCAGATAGCATGTTACCGTGATGTAACAATCGATGACGTGAATGGCCGATGCGATTCAATGAACCATGTCAAACTTAACAACACTCCATGTACCTTTCGATGTCTGTTCTCTCTCTGATCAAAACGAGTGGCCAGACATGGAGACTCGAATCATCTCCAAACCTCAAATCGGAGCGAAGCAACCGCAAAACGAAATTCACTCTCCGCGATTCTCTGGGCCGAACAAAAAAGTTCGGCTTCCAGGGGGATATCGCACGTCTCACAAGCCTCAAAATTGCAAACCGGAATAAACATTGCCTGTAAAATCTGTACACTGCTTGGAGCAACTCAATGGACCCCTTTCCAAAAATCTTATCCCAATGTCCTGCACTTCTCCAGGAGGGACTGTGAGCGGGAAATCATCATGAATCGCACCCAGCCTCATTCTGCCGGGGCAAAAAACATCATCAGGTTGTAACAAGCAATGCAGCTAGAGTAATTGCTTCAATCATTGAGTCTACTAAGTCTACTACGACCACTGTGAGTATTGTCAGTATTGCATGTAAATAGAACTGCTGGTTTTGGTCTCTATGAACACATTGATCGTGGGGTCTGTCCAGTGCTCTGGTGGATCTTGCCACATTTGGTTCAGCGGCAATGTCATGTGGAGATCGCCTGACACCTGCAACAGTTTCCACATTTTGAGCCACTCTAAAACCGTTACAAAGCAAATGGCTTTGGCCCGGATGTGATCGGACCTGCTCCAGCAATCTGGGCAGCACGTTGCTGGAGTCCTACAAAGTTGGCAGTTCTAAATGAGACATGTTCGAAACAATGTAAAGGACCATGACCTGTCCCACTCCTCAAGTTTGATAACGAGATCCAGGTCAGGTCGCTGGTCCTTAAGCCAAACCTGGAAGATTTTCTGCAAACTTGGACGTTCGAAAGTCCTTTCTGAGACTGTGACGCGTTCCAATCTTTCTGAATGAAAGTTAAGTTTCCCTGAAAATCTAGGCACCAAATCATTAGTGCCAGCGTTTCTTCAAAGAAGCTCCCCCAAGCCGCCTTTGGAGGATTTATGGGAAGCTTCCTTGAAGAAGCTTGAGCTATCCCGCATCCAGTCACTAAATGTTACTAGAAGCTAACTAGTAGGTAGGGGCGAACTTCTCCTTTACTTAATTAAGCACGCGCCTACGTAATTAACTAAGGGCGGCCTCAATAACAAAACAAACATTAGTCTATTTTAGTTCTTTATGTCATGGAGAGGCATTTTTTTCAGACCTCAGCGACACAACCACCCCAAGGCCGCGCTGTTGGACCTTGATTCGAGTTTGGACGCTCGAGTGGATTGGTTGCGCTACTCTTCACCACTTGCTGTCGTCGCACGAAGAAGTCGAAGCTGTTTCCCGATGAAGTTATGAACCGGACGGGGCTAGGTGGCAAGGCACGGGTGAAACTTGATGGAAACGTCTCTTCATTGGTCATGCACGTGCGACCTTTGAAGAGAACACTATGTATATATTTATATACACATTCTCCTTAGCATCCTTATACTTGCTCCTTTTAATACCCCTTTTCATTATTCCCGCTTGTTTTCACGTTTGCAAGGTGGTTCTTTGTTTAATCCTTTTTCACAGGCACCATAATACTTGAGTGCTATATATTTGTTTTACAAAATGAGCACAATTTCCAGCTTTCGTCCGGTTCAGACGACCGGAAACATGCCCGGTCTGCAATTTTGATTTCTGTGCTCCTCATCTCAGCTCAAAGGTTCGACGCAGTACTGGTTCTTGTGCCACCGGTCGCATGCTTACCCCCATGTTTGACATGTGCAATTCCCACGTCGAGTCTTGGGAAAGGAAAAGCCGTCTAAAATCATGAGAGCTTCTTTGAGAACGTATAGTCAGACATGTCTCAAGTTTGAACTGGAAAAACTTCCAAGATGCCGAACCAAACTTCCAAGCAGTCTTAGGACTGCAGGTGAAGGCCTCAAACGAAAAAACCTTCAAGATGTTCAACATCACCGGCTCTGATCACGTGAGCCGCGCGCACCTCTCCAGGACCTGGTGGCCCAGTGAAGTTTGAGCTTCCGCCTGGCTCGTTTCTCGTTTGGGATTCGTGGACTAGAAACTTCCATTTCGTGGACCGCTTTTTGAGCGGAACTTGCGCTCCCGGATGCTCAAGACCAACACTCTTTTCCACTTTTCCAGCAGCATGGGCACTGCGTTGGCTGTGAAGTCTGCAAGGGGTGTTGGCAAGGCCTTTGACACGCTGACAACTGCCATGTCATCCAATATCCACTTCATCAAACTCTCGAATCCATTTTGAAGATTTTGAACACAATTTTCCTCACAAAACTCCGCATGCGGCAGTTAAATGTATACTTTGTGATCTTGCACTGTCTTTTGTGCCTCCAAATGGAAGAAACCAATGTCGTCATGCTTCGCCTGAGCAGTTGTCGAGGAACGTGCTCCCGCTGAGTGCACAGAAAGGTATCTCCTTTTCTAGCGGCCCCGGCAGGCTCCATGTTTCGGGCATCAGAAGCCGTGCAGCCAGGTGCCAAGTCAGCAGTGTAGCCTGTCAGACCAAGGCAAAGAATCTTGTTCAAAGGCTTCGAATATGACCCCAAAAAGAAGATCCAAAGCGAATTCATTGGAGGGCGAATTCATTTATCTGTTATCTGTGTCATTCGGTTTCACATCTTGAGTCCGAAATCAGCCCTTTGAGTCATGTTGGCCTATTGAGACCCAATGGGCTCCAGAAGATGGCTCGGAAGTGACCTGGTCCAGTCGTGAGTTCCGTCCAATCGAGCCAGAATGGTGAGATGCGACCCCGTAATTAGGCATCGCTCGTAGTAGCTTCAAGCTATTAGTAGTAATGGCCTCCAACCTAAGAGCGATAGAATTTTACATCATATTGCATAATATGTACTTGCATATTGGCATATTGCATATAAATTACAGCATACTCGCAATCCATACAACATCAAAGTTCCCAAACCAAGGCACGTCCAGTAGCTCTGGATTGCAAATGTCCAAATTGGTCTCCTCCCTCGGAGTGCCAAATCGATCCAAAAGGCATTTTGTTTTCAGAAAATGTCGCGCATTCTTTCGAGCAAGTCCTTCCCGCCGGAGTGTACTTTTGGCTTTCGGCTTTCCGTCTCTCGAAGTGCCTGATCTCTCGAAGCAGCGCTGCCTCACAACTCTCCCCGAAGTTCACAGCTCCGCCAGGCCTCAACAAACGGCAAGAACACAAACGTCTTCAGATCAATCAAGTCTTTAAAACGTAAGTTGAATTAGAAAGTGAAGTTTGGAACACCTGCCAGAATGACTTTGAAACATGTGCAAGAGTTGAAGAGATCAAGAGCTTGCAGTTGGTCATAAGAAGAGAACCTTTAGACACCTTCAAGATCTTTCCTATGAACCACGTTTAAGGACATTCACATATACCTGCGAGGCGATGCAGTGGCGTAAAAATTTGACAATTGAAGCTGTGGTTCGCGAATCGATCCACACGAAATCGAGAAGTGTACACCATGTACACGGCACCCAGACATGCCTGAAACGGCATTTGGCTCAAGTGGAGAAACAAGCAGCGGTGTTTTGCTGCACATGGGTTATGAGTTATGAGCCCAAAGTGTGTCTGACGCCATGGCAGATCTCAGAAGGAGATCGCAGCAGCGGCAGCCTTCAGCGGACGAACAGCCCGACGCCATGATCGCTGAGGCGAAGGCAAAGCAACCTCAGCGGGCAAAGAGCTTGGAGCCGAGCATGAAGCTGACGCCGGCCCTGAAACGGACCTCAGGAACGCCGAGCCAAGCTGCGACTGGTGGTGGTCAGGCTACATCCTCGTCAGCGCCCACGGCAAGGCAACACTACGTTCCTCCTCTACCAGGGGCTTCTCTTCTACCACTTCCCGCCCCAGGACAAGCAGCTCCTGGACTTGCAACAGGATGGTCAACCTCCTGGCAAGACTGGGCAACCTACAACCTTGGGTATGACATCGGTATCCCTATACCTATGAGCTCCTGTATGCAAGCAACCGCTGCAAAGGAGACAACAACGCCTTCTGGAGGGCAGTTTCCTTGACCTTATCCCACTCGAATGTGTCCGGGAGTAGGAACCTCGGGCAATGATGGAGCACCGTCAGGTGGAGGTGGTGGAACTGTGAGACCAGGTGGTGGAGCTGGAGCGACAACAACTCCGGCTGGTGATGAATTGATAAATGAGGGACCGCAACGTGGAACTCCCTTTGTTGCCGGCCGACACCAATGCGTTGACCTTCGGCGACTGGTTGGTGACCGTGGACCGCTGGTGGCGGACGTTAGTACGCCGGCTAGTGTGGTGGGTTATGACCATGAGGGGGTTGGAAGAAACCTATGCCCAATGGCTGGACATGGATCTACTTCAACGTCTACGACTGGACACCAGCGCTTCAACGGCGGCTACCAGTTGGCCACGGATGGGGAGGAGGATGACAAGCCTTCTTCTTCAAGCAGTACCTGAACGCATTCGGGCTGAAGCAGTGGCAGCGAGGAAGTTGAGCGCAGCCCGCTTGCTGTTCACGCTCTTCGTAAAGTTTCAATCTGGACGACAAGGTGTGAAAGGATGATCCTCATCCGGTACTGGACTGAGTTGAAGATTACAGGATCTATGTCCGCGTTGGCCGCTCAGCTGAGGCAGTGGAGGAGGCGGTGGAATCAGGGGCCGACGCCCGTCCCAATTTTGGAGGTCATCAAGACGTTTGCGGAGCTCCTGAGGCCGAGAGTGAAGAGTTGGCGCATTCAAGGGGACTATACACCTGTGGTGAAAACTATGGCGGTATCTCCTCCTACATCGTCAACTGCGACTTCTACGCCGGAAACGGGCGCGCAAGCTTCTTGAAAAATCATCTCTGAACCACCTGATTCACGAATTCTTGAAGCAGGTCACGGTAGTCTAGAGGCTCCTGATTCTTCCACTCTCGAGTTGGAAGCGTCCAGTGCAAGCCATCGCGTATGGGGCAGGATTCAATTGCGCCTGCCTTCAACTACACTCCATGCCGCGTAGTGCCAGAGGCACCTTCGATGGACGACCTCATCCGATACCAGTGGACGCGGGGAACTACACCGGGGGACAAGTTACGTACAAGGGCCTGGGGGACGCACTACATGGTGGACACCATCGGCTGAAGAGGTGGGTTTGGAGCTGCAACAGCAAGTTCGCCCATCAGTGTACAAAGCATATCCGGTGAAGGCACCGCCGGTGAAGCCACCGCCGCCGAATGCCTAGCAAGAGGGCAGGCCGCCACCAAAGGCTCCGCGCAAGGGGTATGGTGGTCAAAATGCTTCGAGCTCTTCCGCGCAGCCACGTACGGCGATGGAGAGGGGGCAAGCAGTGATGGGGGCATCGTCTAAGACGGCGGGGGCGGCAACCGGCCACACCTCGAAGGCAGCTGGATCAACCCTGACCGGAGTGTCAAAGTCAGCAGCGGCGGCGTGGGAGACTATGCCTGGAGCGCTGGACGAGCGACTGGCTGGGTGAGATGGACGATGAGATCATATTTCAAAACTCAGTGCGAGGAGGCCACTTGGTACAAGCCTGTCCGCAAGACAGACAATTGGGACCGCCTGAGCTTGGACGAGCGCAGGTGGTTGGTGAAGATGCGCGGACCAAGGGTCCAAAGGTTCCATCCGGAACATAGGTCGTGTCCCGTCTGGGTGGAAGACTTGGAGTTCATGCGCGCGACGTGCGCATGGAAGGGTGACAACTGGCACTGCATTGTCATCGTGGACTCCTGGAGGTGCGCTGAGTTCGGGGATGGTCCTGGCCAGTGGGTCGGCTTGTCGTTCTTCTTGCTCAAGAATGAGCAGACGCGACAGAGTGTGATTCGGGGGGAGTGTGGTTCGCGAATCGATCCGCGCGAAATCGAGAAGTGTACAATGTATACAGCGCCCAGACATGCCTGAAACGGTACTTCGCTCAAGTGGAGAAACAAGCAGCGGTGTTTTGCTGCACATGGAAACAATTACAGTGCAGCACCTTAAATCCCTCTGCCTGGCAACCTGACAGCTTTTGTTTCTCATGATCAAGGTTTCGTTCAAAACACAACAAAGGTTTCAAGAACTTAAACGGACTCAACACTCCAAGCACGCCTTGCCCAGGCGCCCGGCGCAGTCCGAGCAGTTGCACTGCGTTTCAGTAGCAGCACCTAGGACGGACTCGAACATGTAAGAAACAACTTTCTTGACAATCAAAAAACAAGAGACGAGATGAGGCATGATGAGACTCAAGGTCTTTCAAAATTAAGGATCGTATATAAGTTGCAAGCTTGAGAAGGGAGGGGACGAAACCCAGCCTCCGTAACAATATGACATTGTTGTTATGGGGTGAAGTCGACATTGCACTGACGTCTACTGCTGTTAGGCACGGGGAAATAGAAGGCAGAGAGGCGCAAAGTCTCGCATTGAGGGTCGATATGATAGAAGTGGAATTCATGCGTTGAGACAAAGGTTGAACTGAGCAGGACATTCACAGTTCGGGGAGGTACCCTTTGTCTCTGGGCGCAAGCCCGTTTTCATGCCGAAAAAAGGCGCCCTTAAGTAACTGATGGGCGCTTGCCTGTATAGTGGGTTGAGAGTGGATGGCACAATCCCCAAAAGGTGGTTTATATGGACCCCTATATAAAAGACATTTTGGCGTTTGCGCCGCCTATATACTCTCAATTGTTTGCCTCTCCTGTCTTGACAAACCTGGTGAGCTTACCTCAGTATCTTATATGATTATGTAGTTATAAAGACGAAGCCTGGACATGTCCTGCTGAGATGTGAAACGCTGTTTCTGTGAGTGTTTAGAGCTTAGAGGTGTTTGGCGGTACAGAGTCTCGCCGCTTCTGTGCGGTGGAGCAGAAAGTTAGTGCTCATAAGTGGACCGATGAAGGTTTAGTGCCAAGATCACGTGGATCGCATGATTGTATAAAATCTAAAGTATATAGCTCTGAGGGGCGCCCTTTTTCATCCGGTTCCCTTTTCACAATAATTACATCTCCTGTCCTCTACCTGTATTCTTTGCAGCGTTATGTTTTTGACCAGATAGCTGCAGGCTATAGGGGTTCT